GGTTGGATTAGGGCTTCGGAGGACGTTAGAACCGACAAGGGAAATAACTCAAATAGATAGGGCCGTTTTACATTTTTGTTTTGGGAAAACAATGAATTTGTTCTATTGTAAGCTTCTTTTTAATGGAAGAGGCATTCCATCAGATGATAGGAATTTGAGATTAGCGAACTCTTGCACTCCTGTAGAAACTGTCTTTTGACCCTCGACGGTAGAGCAAGCTGTTCACAGAATTGGGAAAAGAACAGAAAAAAGGAGAAACGTTTTAGATTCATAGATTGACGCTATTTGGCTTATTTCAGAGGCGCACTGCTTCGGCCCTTACTGTTAGGGCCAACCTGGGCGGAACATCCGGAGCGGTGCCACTGACTGAAGTGTCATTCACGATCGGACTTAGAACCCAATTACTTACTTTCTAATTATGTGATTTCTTCCGGTGGTTACCTGGTTGGCTCCGAACATCTTCAAGATTTAAGACAACCTTAATTTCGGATCATTATGGGAAAGCAACTTTTGTTTAAAAAAAAAAGAACCTATTCAACAAAAGAAACATATTTTATTTGTTAACGTAACTGGTAACCGTTTGTTTACGAAAAGTAGTCGGAACTTTTCTTCAGTAGCATTAATCACGGGAATCGGAATTGATTCTTCGCCCAGCTCATTAGGCCATTCCCAAAGGGGGGACAGTAACATCTTGAGTTCTTATACACAGTAGAATTGTAACTGTAAATATGTCAATTCATCAATGTCATGCTCATAACTGTTCCTAACCTGCTAATGGGAACTGCTGCTTTTTCTGCACTAATTCTTACTATCGTTATTTTCCTCTACTTCTTTTGTATGTTTGTTAAACTCTTGTGACCTGCTATTTCCGGGGTGCCTTGGTAGTCGAAGCAGACATTGTGATGTTGAAGCTAGAGAGATGAGCAGAGTAAGTCTGATTCCCTGTAAGGACTTCTCTGTTGACATCCACCCTTTGGCGCTCATATGGCCTTATACAGTTACGAGCGCCGTAAAACTTCTACTAAAACAAACAAACTGGGATGAGAGGGTTAAGTCAAAGAAGATGGACGGAGATACTCCGTAAAAATTCTCCCTACTCGAGATTCGATCCCAGGTCTTCTGAGTGCTATGCTATATCCGCTGGTGAAACGGTCTTAGTTGCAATACAACTTAATATCCTCTCTACATTTTAACTTAACACTATCCGTACACCTTGGGGTCATTTTGTACCCCCGGGGTTGTATTCTTCACATTTTATAATATTTCTAGTACTAAGATCTCTTTGAAACTTTAAGTATTTCTTTAAAAAATCATTTTGATAGACTGCTATGCAAAGCGTACGGATGGGATTAACGAGTAAGCTTCCTCTTTGGAAAATGGTGGCACAGAGTTCCCCATGTCGTATGGATACCACCGTAAAACACGATGTACGGATAGGGTTAATATAACCGCCAGTGAAATGGTCATAGTTGCAATATAAGATAATAATATCCTCGCTACATTATAACCGCCAATGAAATGGTCGTAATTATAATATAAGATAATGCTCTCTGTAAAGAACGTTCTTGTCAGTTTGCCTTACCAAGAACACTATTGTTTTACAAATTGTGCTGAAGATGTGTAGGAGGATGGTTGGAACGTGCTCTGGTATAGTTTACTTCTTCTTTCCTACCAAAGACCTATCGTCATTATCTCTCCTCCTTCTTTTCTGTGTTTGTTACACTCTTGTAACACCTACTATCTTCTGCACTTATTTGACCTTATTGTGCTGAAAGTTCCTTAAAAATAAAACATTATTAAAACTAAGAAGTATAGGTTGCTGAAATGTGGCAATGTCCTGCTAAGAGGAACAAGCGAGCTTGGGGAAGTGTTTCTGTGAATGTGAGGAAAACGTTTTGCGTCCAATTCGACACCATCAAGATGAACTTTGATCATCCTTGCCAGGGATAATAATGGCGACTGTTTGGGTTAAAGCCCTATAGACCGAAAAAAATGAGATGCTTAAGAAAGTCAACTAACCGTCCACATTGTGTGCTGTCTTCCCTCAGTCCTTGAGCCCAACATCTTGCCTTCGGGTGTCTCCTTCGTGATGGTCTATGAGAGGTGTACTCATGAAATTGAAGATGGATTTTATTTTATTTTCTACTGTCCAAATGTTGTCCATCAAAAGAAATTGTTAATCCCCCCAAGACTGACTCGGCCCAGTGAAAGAAATATGCAATGTTTGACCCATGATACCACGATAAGAGATATGTGTACAACCTGTACCTTCTCATTATGGGAAATATATTTTTAAAATGAGTGTTTTATATGACATGACGTGGGCCAATGGTCTTAAACACTGAATAAACTTTCTTACTTCATAATGGTCTAGTGGCGTTTTATGTGACCAGAGTATTGTATTTTTGTACTGACTTTCATTCTGTGCTGGTTGGAAAGCTGCTCACCGAGCCATCTCACAATAGAGTGAATGAGCCAGCTACCTCCGTACAATCTGTTCCTGCTTCCTCCTTATTATTTTTTTGTTTTTTTGTTTTTGTAAAATGTTTTACGGCGCTCGCAACTGCATAAGGTCATATGAGCGCACGGGACACACCTAATATTTTCAGTTGGTAGGAAATTTGGAATTTTGCCCTGGTGGCGGCCGAAGCCTACTCTTATCGATTTTAGACCACCAAGGGATCTTTAACGTGCTAAACTTGCACACGGGCCCTCCGAGATTTTTAGCCCTTGTACGAGAAGGCTAGATGTAGATCTTTCCTACCAGAAGATCAGGGGTGTGGCTGCTTCCTCCTTCTGAACTGTAAGCCAAAACTTCTGTGACAAATCACATTTAATGTGGCTGGCATGATGGCTGAAGAAAAGCAAAAGGATTAGGAGACTCCTGCCCTAAAGAACACGGTGGCGACATTCAGTTTAAAAAGCAATTCGTTTACAGCTAATCAAAATCTACTACTTACACTGCAAAAATAAAACAACAAAACATGGGCTTGAGATATTATTCCTTCTGCGAGCAAAGCTAGACGAAACAAGAGCAGAATAAAACAGAACAACGTACACAGCTGGCCTGAACACCTTTATGAAAACACAACATTTAGAAGAAAAAAAAATAGCTGACCAAGAGGGAACGGGGTACCGTGCATCTTCAATGTCTGCTCTAGGCATGGCACGTCTTAATGAAGAAGAAGTCATCAATACTAAAAGCAAATTAAGTGGCGCCCCCCCTCCCCTCCTCCCCTGTGCCCTTCCACGCCACCTTCATGCCACCCCTCCCAATTAAGTAATTAACCCCCAGTGTGTTAATGTGCATCAAATCATTAAATACTTTACTTTTCCTTTTATTCGCCGCTTTGACCCTTTTGGGTGTCGCGGGGAAAAAGACGTCTCTCTGCCACCAGCAGGAGAGCTTGGGTCAGGGGGATGCCATGAGTTTTTAATGTTTCCCTGACTCAATCTATCCAGGTCTTTCTTGGTCGCCCTCAAGCCTTATTGTTGGCATTGGATTTTTTAAAATATTGGCACGTTGTGTTGGATGGTGTGTTGGTAATCGCATGACACGTCAGAACCATTTGACTCTTTGGTGTGGATGGAATGCATGAAATCAAATGAATAACTATATTTTTCCTCCGAAGAAGTAGAAACTAAAGACCTCAAAAGAAAGCTCAAAAACCAAATTCACAATGAAAACAACATTAACATATTATTTTTATTAACAATAAATCGGCCATATCTAAAAAAAAAAAAGAAAGAAAAAAAAGAAGGAATTCCCCAAAGTCACGCAATTTTCACGTCTTCCACTTTAGAACAGTATTCAGAGAACATGATCTCGGGCTAGATTTTCATACACATGGACACTAGTTGCCGGTAACCTCCTGTTGAGTTCTCAACACACCCATAAGAAAAAAAAAGGCAAGGGGAAGCAAATAAAATTCAGTCAGAGCAATGAAAAGCGGCTTAGAGATAAGCAGCTAGATCTACTAACAACAGCAAGTTGACAGATTTACACGAGCAAACCCCCACCTTCTCTTTGAGAAATACAGGTTTTATTAAAGACAAAAGCTAAACAAGCCAATGTAAAGAAAACAACATGTTACAGATATTTTATTCATATGTTAACCCCCTTTTATCATCTTGTACCTATTCCTACAAACCTATACATGTACATTTTACTTGTTTCTAGCATATAGGAATTCCATGCATCAGGCCTATTTTAGCCTGATTTTATCCAGAGACGAAATGTTGAATTACAAAAGAGTGAAAATAAAACGAACTAAACAAAAGATGATTTTAAATGAACATAAAACGGTTGACCACAGTGTAAATCAACCAGCAGACACAATAAAATGTTTTTAGCTTTGAGTTTTAGTAAAAGTTTTACGGCACTTGCAACATGATAAGGTCATATAAGTGCCGAAGACTAGAGGTGTTACGAGAGAGTAACAAACACAAAAAAAGGAAGGAGGGGAAATAAAGACTATAGATGTTATATGGGAAAGAAGAAGCAAACCCTACCAGAACACCCTTCAAACCCCAACTAAAAGGTTTTTGAATTGCTGAAGACGATGGACAGAGTTGCAAGATATAAAAATACATGTACTGTACTGTCGAGGAATCTATTACTGCTATTGTTCTTGTTTCTTTG